CCAACTCACTTTCAGTAACTCCAGGTAGTAATTCCTAATTACATGAAGGCAATAAAATCAATGATATCAAACCCTTAGTGCTCTCTGAGCTTGGTTGTTTACTTGCAGATGTTTCATTATCCAACTAGGTGACATCATCAGTGTGAGTGAGTGTGATATTCAGTTTGTCCTGCCAGTGTTGGTGAGGGTATGGTTTTCTCCTTGAAAATTCCTTGATTAGAAAATTGTTTTCTGCTTGATTGTTTGTCTGGTGTTATTTCCTGGTTATCTGGATGTTGGTTTCTGGAGAGGACTTTTTGGTTCCTTCTCAGTTTTTCTTATTGCCTCTTTTTAAATAGTGTGTTAAAACTATGATTGTGCCTGTTCATGTGTTGTGACTCATTAATCTCCGATCCTTGTTGTAACCCCTTAATCTAACAAATCCTGCTTTGGTGTGCTAGCTTAGTTTGCAGCTCATGCAAAGAAAAAAAAATCCACAATTCTAGAAATCCACAATCTCATTTTAGCCTTAATCCTAATCTGTAGTTAAAATGTTAAGTCCTCCTTAAGGTCCTACTCCTTAAGTCCTCCTCCTCAATAATCATTTTTCCTGCTTAATCCATAAAAACCGATCAAGTAGATTAAAGAAACCCTACTTCTACCAAGCACACAGGCACACCAATACCCATATTGCTACCAGTATCCTGATGGTTGGGAGTCTTGGTCTGTGTTTATTGGTCTTGGAGTTTGCTGTGTTCTGCTTGATTGGTGTTTCTAATATCTTCTGTCTGTTTAGTGGCTTTTTTTGTCTTGATTGGCTATATATATATGTGTGGTATTCAGCTTTGTTCGGGTATTTTCCCACATCATTATAGTTGTGCTTTTAAAGTTGTAGCTTTAAAAGCTAATGACGTGGGAAAATACCCGAACAAAGCTGATTACTGTACATGTAAGTATCCACGAAAACTTAAGAAAACACACACACACACACACACACACACACACACACACACACACATATATATATATATTCTTAAGTTTTCGTGGGTACTTACATGTATGGTATTCAGCTTTGTTCGGGTATTTTCCCATGTCATTATAGTTGTGCTTTTAAAGTTGTAGCAACGTTTCAGCAGAATCTCATCTGCCATCATCAGGCTTCTGCATAGTGTTCGTCTGTGAGTCAGACTTTCACAGCCGTTTCAGTTTTAAATTTGGTGCTAGCCTACGCTGTGCCAGAATGGTTTTTTCTTCATCCTGATTGGTTGGGAGTCTTGGTCTGTGTTTATTGGTCTTGGAGTTTCCTGTGTTCTGCTTGATTGGTGTTTCTAATATCTTCTGTCTGTTTTGTGGCTTTTTTTTTGTCTTGAATGGCTGGCAACATTGTGTTCCTGTATTGGAGGCTTTTAGTGCCACTTGGCTCCGAGTAAACGGACGGCTATCATTTATTATAATCATAATGATGATAATGATGTTTGTTTTAACACCTTGGACACCTAGAGAGCACATTGCTCAACATAGAAAGGAAATGTATGATATAAAACAATAAAAAAAATATTTAAAAAAAAAGAACAGAAGGGACCTTGGAGGTCTTCTATTCCAGCTCTCTGCTCAAGCAGGAGATCCTGACCTGTACCATTTCAGACAAGTGACTGTCCAGTCTCTTCTTAAAAACCTCCAGCGACGAAGCATCCACAAGTGTTCCATTGGTTGATTGTCCTCACTGTCAGGAAATTCCTCCTCAATTCCAGTTTGTTTCTCTCCATGATGAGTTTCCATCCTTTGCTTCTTGTCCTGCCTTCAGGTGCTTTGGAAAATAAGTTGACCCCCTCTTCTTTGTGACAGCCTCTCAAATGGGATTAGCCCAACCCACTTGAGGAGATAAACCTTTCCTATGGTGGGATCCTCCCCTATGGAACATTCTACCATTGGAGGTGAGATCTGCTTCCACCTATCTGGCCTTCAGAAAGATCCTCAAAATTGTTTTTGAAGGTTGGCTTAGGACTTAGATAGGAGTTGTTGAGGTAATTCCCCGTTAGGAGAATGAGCGCATACAGGGAGACGTATTTGAGAGAAGTGTTGGAATAATACACACAGAGCACACAGATACACTGTACAGTAAATGTAGGTTTTTACTTCCAGAAACGTTAAGCAAAGTCCAAAATAGGCAGTCCAAAGTCATTCACAGGTTAAATCAGTCAGTTTTCAATCCAGGGATAATCCAGATATCAAAGTCCAATGTCAAAAACAGTTCAGTAACAGACTTACTTTAAATCCAGTAATATCAGTCAACTAGAAGAAATGGAGGAATGGCAATACTTTCCAACAGAAGGAAACAGAGATCCTCACTCAGACACACTCTCTTCTGAGACTAAGACTAAAACAATCCAGGTTTCTGGCTCCACCTTATGGCTGTTTGAGAAACCACACCTAATTACAGTTTTGCATTTTCTTAAAGATGCAGTTTTAAAATGTTTATCCTGGTTTATATATATTTCTAACCCAAATAGCTGTTAGGTGACCCATATTCCTAACAGGGGTGCTATATTCTCAAGGTGATTTATGGGGTAGGAAGAATTCTGGAAGTTGAACTCCAACTCCATAAAAGTTGGCCAGGTTGAGAAACTCTGTCTGAAGGCCTCAGTGTATCCTTTCACACAGCAGACAGTGACGGAGACCTGGGGGAGATGGACATTAAGTAGCTATTGATCAAGCCCAAGTCAGAGCCTTATATGACCCAAGAGGTTAATTGCTGCTGGGGGTTCAGTAGGAGACTAGATCGTGCAATGAATGAGAAGGCTGCAGGGTACAGGAGGGAAAGACTTTGTGGAGGAAATCTAATATTCAGAACAAAGAGGAAACTAAATTGGATTTTTAGGCAAAAATTATTCCAGCTCTTGCCCCACTAAATCCAGATCTTCTATTCCTGTGTGAATGCAAATGCACAACACCAAACAAGCTCCCTTCAAAAGTGTTGCAACTGTAGTATTTCCAGTTTGCTTGTTGAGAAGCATTTGTTTTTCATAGGTTTCCAACAACCTGATTAAGTTGCCATAAGTAGGAAGAGATTCATTTTAGCTAGACCTGGGGTCATGATGGCTCAGTGGTTAAAGACACTGAGCTTGACAGCCCTGGTTTGAGACCCAAGCACCGCACGATGGGGTGAGCTTCTGTTCCTTGCTACAGCTCCAGGAGACTGTGAGTTCTAGTTCCACCTCAGGCATAAAAACCAGTTGGGTGATTTTGGGCCAATCACCAGGAGACGGTGAGTTCTAGTCCCGCCTAAGTAAGGACTTCAGCTTGCCAAATTCCCCAGCATGGGAAATTTAGACTTTACACATCATTTAGACTTTACACAGCTATCATATGGCTTATTTGATATATTCATACTACACTGACATCAGCCATGGTAACTTCTACACCATGGCCTGTGACTTAGCAAGCAAATGACCCCAGTCAATGATACCATTCAGCAAACAGCGGTTTTAAAATGTCTCAGTATGATGAATGAACCCATTTGCTGTCCGTACACAGATCTCTTTGTATTGTGCAACAACAGCCTAGATAAAGTGCAAAAAACTGATCTTGGGCTCTAGTTGAAAAAGGCATTATTTATTGGAGTTTTCACTTCTCCTCTCAGGACAGTGAACTTTTGACATTTAACATCTCCCAACACCAATCGTGGTGGAGTGAGAACGGTCCTGGATGCGTAAGGAAGGAGACGCCCATGATCGGCATCAAAGGTCTGGACAGCCATTCGTACGTCTCGGTGATCGGTTGTGCGTTGGAGTACCGTTACATCGAGGTCATGCACAGCGCCCTGCAGATTCTGGTGGCGGTGAGTAGACCTTCAGATTCTTGACTTACGAAGCATTGGAGAAGCAGCGCCCAGGTGTAAGAGGTATTCTCTCCTCAAAGGAATTTAATGAAATAAAAACTCAAGAGGAGAATTGATGGGAGGAAAAAGATCTACCAATGTAGATGTCAACTCAGAAAATATTCCTCTGGTCTTTTTAGAGCTGCCAAGAGAAAGGGAAGGGGGAGCAGTGTAGCAGCTTGCAAAACCAAGACTGCATTCCATAAATGTTTTCAAAGATAGTAACTAGGTGACCGAAGTTTCTGCCGTGCAAAATTCTATGATTGATGACTCTTGACTATGGATATGTCCCATTGGAGAATATGAATTATGATACACCCAGGGGGTGGGGGGAAAGCCAGGGTGGCAATGAATTATGTGTCTCAGAGTCGGCTACACCCAGGGAATGCCGGCATGTTAACTCCCAATAAATCCTTTCTAAGTTTTGGAAATTTGGCTCGAGACTAGTGATTTAATTGGGGTAACTGCCAGAATCCTGACAATAGACAGAAAATACTCCCATCATCTGTCTGTCTGTCTGTCTATCAATTAATTAATGAGCCCTGGTGGTGAGTTAGGGTGATGTATAAAGCCTAAATTCCTCATATCCCAAAGGTGTTTTTTCAAGAGGTAACTGGATTTTCTTGTTTTTTTTTCTTTGAAGACCTTTCACTTCTTATCCAAGAAGCTTCTGAAGTTCTGACTAGATAGATGGTGGGGAATGGAAGGATTTATATTCCTTGTAGATAGCTGGTCGTTTGCATTCTTTTAGAGAGTCATTAAAGTCACCTGGAGGTTTATCTGTGTCCTCGGGGTCAGCTGAGTGGTGCAAATGAGTGTGGAGCCTTCTTAGAACTGCTGAAAGGACCGTCTTGTAGACCGGAGATAGATGATGTCGTTTCCCTCCCCTTCTGTTGAGAGAGGGCTGTTCTATTTTGGGATGGATGGTCTCTTTGACCCCTCCTTCAAACCAGTGTTCCTCTCTGTCCAAAATGTGGACTTTGCTGTCTTCACAAGAGTGGCCTTTGTCCTTTAAATGCAGATGGACTGCTGAATCTAGTCCTGATGGATTTGTTCTCCTATGTTGTGCCATGCTCTTATGAAGTGGTTGTATCATTTCCCTGATGTACAGATCTGCAGATCTGAGACTGAGAATCTCCACAGGCATTTAAATTCTAAGGCTGTCTGGGGAATTCAGAAAATTGAAGTCCTTATTAAGATGAGACTAGAATTCGCCATCTCCTGGTGACTGGCCCGCTTCCTCTATTGGAAGTTGGTTCCAAGCTTCCACTCCTTTTTCTGTGTACTATTAATTTCTAACTTGGTTTTTGAATTTCCCTCCTGTGAGTTTGAAGTTGTGCCCCCCGTGTTCTTGATTTTCGCTTAAGATTGAAAACGCTGCCTTCTAGAACCTTATTCATTCTTTTAATATATTTAAAGGGTTCAATCATGTCCCCACTGTCCCTTCTATCCTCCAGGGTGTACATATTCAGCTCCTCAAATCTCTCCTGATTATGTTTTGTCCCTCAGACCTTCCGCCATCTTTGTTGCCCGTCGTGGACTCGCTCGATCTTATCAATATATTTTTAAAAATGAGATCTTCCCATGGAATGAAGCTATGTTCACCAGTGTTCCTTGAACACTGTGTTTTAACGTAATAACATTCTTTGGTATTTAACAGGCCTTCCTGAATAACAGACATCCTTTCTCTCAACTAATTTGTTAAAACCAGGTTTCACTGTCTTTAATGTAGCAAGCTACTTCCATGGAGAGTGAAGATTTGAGTATATCTACACCTCTCTCTCTCTCCTCTTTCTTTCTTTCTTTCTTTCTTTCTTTCTTTCTTTCTTTCTTTCTTTCTTTTTCTTTCTTTCTTTCTTTCTTTCTTTCTTTCTTTCTTTCTTTTTCTTTCTTTCTTTCTTTCTTTCTTTCTTTCTTTCTTTCTTTCTTTCTTTCTTTCTTTCTTTCTTTCTTTCT